TTCTAAAAAATGGATTTTTGCTAAAGTAAAACTGGATTTCTTATATAGATCCATTTTTTATCCAGTAAAAAAAAATGAAAGTATATCGGATCTTTAAAAACCGTTTTTATTCCAGCAATAAAAATGGATTTTTACTAAAGTAAAACTGGATTTTTTGTATAAATCCATTTTTCATCCAGTAAAAAAAATGAAAGTATGTCGGATCTTTTAAAAACCGTTTTTACTCCAGCAATAAAAACGGATTTTTGCTAAAGTAAAACCAGATTTTTTGTATTGATCCGTTTTTTATCCGGAAATATTCCGGATAAAAAACAGATCAATACAAAAAACTGGATTTTTGCCTGATATGTTTGAAAATTTTTTTTACAGAGATTTGACATCCTTCACACAGTGTGAGTCCTATCCCTTTTAACCTTTGTTCCTGTTCTCATCGAGTCAGACATAACTGTTAATAATTTTCTTGAAATATAGTAGCATCATCAAGCCAGTTATATTCAGCTATTTCATCAATGTAAGCGTAATATTTCTGATCTTTCATTTCTCTTACTTCTTCTTTAGTTACTTCTCATAACATTCTATCTGCTAACCGTTTGATCTTTTCGGAATCATGCGGGTAGAGTTCTTGTTCAAGACGATTTATGACTCTCCAATAAACCTATTGAAAGGATGTTCCTTCTTTGGTTCATTCTACTATCAAATAAGCATATTGGCAGGTGAAATCACATACAGCTCCCTGTCTGGAGAAATCTATCCAATCGTATTTAGTAGACATGACTGTTCTGCAAGTAAGACATGGAGTTCCATCCTATAATCCTTTGTTCTTGAGGTATCCGAAACATTGGTTATTACATCTATTGCAATAATAATGGATTTCTTGTCCCCAATTTTCATCAGGATGAATGGTGATGGATATGGAAGATAATTTCTTCTCACACTCAACACATTCGAGCTTTGATCATCTTCACCGTTGCTTTCCTTTTATTGGTGCATTCCTTTTTCTAGCAATTAATTTATTCATGGTTATAGTTTGATATTTGACTATAGGCCTGAATGGATCTCGTTCCAATTCTTTATGTTTATAATAGCTGATTGGTACTGTAGTTTCTTGTCCATTATAGAAGATAGACAATCAATTACTATGATAGTCCAAATTAGCGTGAGCTTTTCCGAGCCAGTCATTTCCTACGAGTGCGAGATATTGTGGAGCATCTACGACTAAGACTTTAATCAGAATTTTGATTCTGGTTATGATGAAAGATAGGTCATCAATTTCTCCAATTGGTGTTGTCTGTTCATCATTAGCAGTAATAATACTTGTTTTAGATAATCTATTGATTGATCGTTTCAATTTTTCTAACAATCTTTTGGTAATGATACTACCAGCAGATCCAAAGTCAATGATCAATTTGAATTCTACTCCGTCCACTTCAGCATCGGTAGCCATTGTCGTAATTTTCTTTCTGGATGATATAGTCACTAAGGTCATAATGGAATTGTCTTTAGATTCTTCGTCAGATTCTTCAATCTTTGATTCATCCGAACTTTCAGCAACAATAGAATCTTCTGATTCTTGTTCTAGATTTAAGTAAGTTCTTTGAGCGGCGCGTAGTATTGCTGGTCGATAATTATTATTATTATTATTATAACCTTGTTGACCTGTTCGATTATAATTTCTTCTTTGGAACTGTTGTCCAAATATCTGATAGTTCTGGTTGTTTCGGAATGTTTGGTTTTCTCGATTGTCTTAAAAATCTTGCCTAATTGGCAATTGTTGATCTCAGTACGGCCTAAATGATCATTGATCATATCGAGGTGTGTGATAAGCGTTGAATGATCAGTTTTGATTGGTGAATTGTTCTTTCCTTTGATCGAATAATCACGTTCAACATTCTCACATCAAATATTCTTTCCTTCCACAATAATGGCATTTCTTTTCATCATTCGTTGGTCTTTTGATACACTGATTTTCTCTCTGTTTGGCTATCAATGTTTGAATGATTTTCTCCAAACGTTTTATTCTTCTTTCATCGACATTTTCCATTTCGTCATCCAATATCACGTTAATGCTAGTGGTGAAATCATTATAGGTAAGCATCGTTTTAGCTTCTTTTGCTTTTTTATAAGCTTCAGTAAGTGTGTTAATTCTTGTACTAAATACTTTTCTCTGTAGCTTTTTATCTAGCTCTCGAATAAACAAATCAGATCTTTGTTTGGTTGAATAATATTCATCATCCGGGTTAGCTCATTCGTTATCCTATCTGGAAGTTCTTCATACCAACAAGCTGCAACACCTTTTAAGGCCAAGGGAATTTGTCGCATTATTGTGATCTCATTCCAATTATTTGTCTTACATACTTTTATCAAGTCTTGTAACCATTCGGTTGGATCTTTCTCATCATCTTCATAAAATAATGGAATTTTGTGTTCCTTTAAGATGTGAGTGGCATTGGTTGGTACATTCTGAGAAAATTTAGAAATACTGAATTTTTTTGGTTTGTCTGTGTCAGATAAATCTGATCCTGAGTCTGGTAATGAATTTTTTGAACTTTTACTGTGTTTCTTATTATTCTTTCCTCTTGGTATTTTTGTTTTCCTTTACTCGATATCTGTTTGGAAGATTTATTTATCGATTCTGGATCTGGTAGTCAGCTTCCTCGATTTGTTTCCTTAGTGAAGCTTGATTGCTAAAAACATTAGTTGTTTTCTTCCTCTTATATTCAGAGTTCAATTTCTTCTCTTACAAAAGGATTTCCCCATTCATCAGTTTGGTTAAAGGTAGTCATTACTTTTAATTTGTTTATTTCATTTTGTATTTTTGCTGTTAATTCTGTACTTTTCTTTGCGAATTCGTCAAATTTAGACAGACTTTCAAGTGAATCGTTAGGTTGATCGAATATTTCCTGGCTGATGATTGGTGTTGGAATTCTTTCTATTGATGTAGTCAATTCGTGATCAAATTGTTTTTCGTTGATATCCTTATTCGATCCTTCTGAGCTGGATGCAAATAGAGAACTTTTGTTTCTTTGTTGTTCTTCTATTTCAAATAATTCAGTCGCAGTGTTATCGTAGATGGGCTGAATATATTGCTCTCCGAAATAATATATATCTTCGTTGAGTTATCTCAAATATTCGTTTAAGAAATAGTTTCAAGCTTCAACGAACAATTCCTTTTAATATGATAAAAAATACTTCTTTGACTATCTTCCGAGGCTGGTATTTCGTGTTAATGATAGTTGATCTGTTTGTGGATATAGTTCTTTAGATGTAGTTTTAGGATATTAGTTCCGTCGATTTGGAAGAAACTTTTAAGTTTCTCGTATTGTTATAATATGAATATTTAGTTCTTATTTTATTGATTAATTCATATTATAAATTTAATTGGATAATATTCTATTATATTCTATTGGTTAATTTCATATTTATATTTTATTGG